TAGGAGACACGACTTAGAGTAATGCGACAACAGCTATAAATATTGACATTAACGACTTGATGTATTTTGTTTACTCTTATATATTCGATATTATGATATTATGATTTAACTCTTAGAACTTTATAATTGACAGTTAAAATAATCCAAGACGAGTATAGAAATATTTATGAACCTCAAGTGTGTACAAGGAAAAAGTAGTTTTATATGAGTTTTTAAAAGTTTAACTAAACATACCTAGTATTATATGAATACATTCTCGTTAAGATCCATCAACAGACAAACAGGTTGTTATAAAATAGGTTTATTATTTTTATCTTCGATTTTAATAATAAATTACACAGACACACAGTATTAAGATATAAAACATAACTAAGGGCAGATATGTTATTAAAGTGGAAGTTAGATTTTTTAAGGAATGACATTTATAGATAAATAAGAAGATAGGCGCAAATCACCCAAAAATACGTATACCTATAGACGATATTAAAACTAAATATTTTATTATTTACGGTCGTTATATTATACATTTTAATAATAATTGTTACTTGTATATGAATAATAACCATTTCTATTTTCTTACATTACAATTAATGTAAATCAATTTTGTGCCCAGAAGATTGTGATGCTAATTCAAGTTTAATAATAATTACATAAAAAAAAGAAAGAGTTTTTGCGCTAATAGAATATTTAATACTTTATTTTATCGATAATACAAAATGTGTGTTTACGTACATATATTATGGTAATTTTAATACATTATTATATTTGAAGTGTTCATATACTTGTTATATAGCTACTGTTGCTATTCACTGTCAACAACTACTTTCGTTTTAGTATCGTAAATATGATTGTGTTTTGTAGGGAAATGGACGCTTAGGTATCATAGTGAAATCCTCCAGATACGACTATTAATTTGTATAACCGGAACTAATGACAAAACTATGTATTTTTCGTAAAATATGTATATATAACAGCATTTATCATTTATTTAACAAAGTACATTAAAAAGCATCACAGATTCCACATATACATAATAACAACAGCATCTTAAATGTATTAGGTAGGTATCAGTATATCAATAGGTACTGAATGTTATATTTTAAGTTATGATTTAACTATGCAAGAGAAAACTGTAAATCAATGTATATTACAAGTTTCAAAAATAAAATAAATTAAGATCTGTGGTCATTTATAATACAAAAAAGGTGGGTAAGTGGATGTCGCTCTTCTGTACAGTAGGTTACACGTGGGTCACTGTATAATGGATGCTATTAAATTTGAATTCAATGATACAATATCATTGTATAAGAAAAACGATTCTGAGCGAAGACGGTATGTCAGTCTAGGTTAAGACATATTATATACAACTCTATGGTATTAAAAAACAAATTGACCTTTAATAGGTACCTATAATAAATTCCAAAATTAATCATATCATAATATCCATTAGGTAATTATAACACGTTATACATCAATAACAAACCCTGATACTATCATAGATATATAATATAGTGTACTTTAGAAATTTCAAGTACCCACGAATAGTATTATACACTCACAACAAAATAACTAAAATAGATATGCTAGGTTTTTTAATATGTAATTTCGTCCCAAATTTGAACTTAAAATGTCTGTAAAAAATAACTGTGATCATATGTTTTTTAGATTTTTTGGCTGCAGTATGAACTATTTATGAGAATCTTTTTTTTAAATTTTCAATCCTTAGCTATAAAAACTGAACATTTTATAATTTATTAATTACGATAATTTTCGAGATTTTGATAAATTTTGTCAAAATGCGATCTTTAAATGCTTATAAACAAAAAAATTGTGCCTATGTATTTTTAATATTTTTCAATTGCTATTGTAACAATATATCAGGAGCCTTGTATTAATTTTTTACACTTTTTGGCCCAACAGATAAAACTTTATTGATATTTATAGAAAAAAAAAAACTAAAAAAATTGAAAACTGAAAATGTCCGTAAACGGCTCAAAGAGTCAAAATATTTTCAAAATTGTATGGTGTATAAGAAATGCTAATATAAACATTCAGTGGTGAAATTGTCATGTATCTACAGTAATTCGTTTTTGAATTACAACAAAATAAGGAAATCGCCACATGAGAAATCGAGTGAATATCCAATGTTGTAAAAATTTGAATTTCAAACGCTCATAAAAATTTAACTTGACTGTCCGGTAGAGATTTTTTTATTGATAAAGGTAGATAATCTTATAAGGAATCTTGTGTTTCATTTTCATATCTTAGATTTAAAAAGAAAAATTTTATGAATTTCTAACTCGAAATAATTTGCAAATTTTCGTGATTCTTCCATATTTTGTCATTTTTTGAACTTAATGCTTAAAAAAAAAAAACTGTGACTAACGATTTTTAATATTTTTCAACTGTCTTTGAAACAATATAGTAGGAGCCTTGTATTAAATTGTCAAGTACTTTTACTCAACAAATAAATTTTTATTGATATTCATAAAAAAAAAATTAATAAAATTGGAAACTGAAAATGTCCCTAAACAGTTCAAAATAAATCAAAATATTTTGAAAATGTTATCGTGTATAGAAAATGCAAATATAAACAACCACTGAACATTTCATGTATCTACGGTCATTTGTTTTAAAGTTACACCAAAAACCAAAATCGATTTTCTCGAAAACAGATTTTGCGTAAATTTCCCGTTTTTCCTTAATTTTCCTTTTGTTTTTCCCAGCGCTTTTGAAAACTACTGGGAAATTTAAATTTTGACCTCCCCAACGCACCAACGATATTCACTTTTCAATCGAACAAGATACTGAAGTTGAAAACGAAGCATTATTTCGACTACTTATCGTGTACACAGACACAAAAAAAATAAAAAATAAATAAAAAAACACACATCATTGTAAAATCAATACATTCATCGTTTCACTCAGAATCTAAAATGATTACTTATATGTACCTATTAGGTATTTTAAAAATTAATCGTAACAAATGTGGTGCGTGTTATTCAGTTGTTCTAATAAAAAATGTTTATATGTTTAATAAAATCATCCATAACTTTTGAATAGCCTATAGTAATAATGTATAACATTGTTTTCATCATAATCATTCCGTGGCTTGGTACAAGAAGGTACAATGTCAAAAAACATTGTTGGGAAATTTAATTTTAAAATAGGCCAATTTAAAAAAAAGTATACTATAGTTTTTAAGTAAAGTTTTAGAATTTTTACGAATACATTTGATGTTCATTCTTAATTTAATGAAACATAACAAAACAACTTAACTTTTTTATTAAAATCTAATAATAATATCCAATTGCACATAATGTTAGCAACATATATTATAAACTTTATTGATTGATTTCGAAATGTAACTATGTATTAAGTCGGTCATACACTCATACTGCATCAGAGACATTGGCCGTTTTACCACAAATAAAGTAATCAAATATTAATGACATATTGGTCAAATAATCTTAAATTCATTCAAATGTGACATCGGCCCTTCTTGCATTTAACCACAGCGTTATATTTTTTATGTACAGACCTTATAATATAGTTACTACTTACTACCTAATACCTATCACCTATGCCATCAGGCATCAAATATAAATTAATATAATATTTAAAACTAATAAATTCGTTTACTATATACATGTGAAAGAGGGAACCGAAGCACACATTTCCTAGTTAAGATAAAATTGCCAAAGCCTATTAGAAATTGATTTTACAAAATAATATACCTAACTACTATACCCTCTCTACGTTTTACAAATAGAATGCATAGATCGATTATGCATTAAACGTTCGTTTCTCATACTTTTAAAATGAAAACAAACTGTTTAATTTATCATTAAAAATTTAAAAAATTATATTTTTAAAAATTACCACGTTATATAGTTGTACTGATATATTGGACTTTCTTAATAAAATAAAAACACCTAAAATATATTATTATTATTTTTTTTTATTATATTATAAGTACTTAATCTCATTCAATTATGATAGCCTTAAAGCATTTAATTTCGGTGTTCATATAATATTATTGTTTTGGTTCAGTACTTAATGTTAAAAATTAGAATATTGAATTAAATGTATATAACTAACAGTAAACAAATCACATCGTTATTATAGTGTTTATAATGCACCTGTTTGGTGCTCCTATAATTTTACTAGATACGAAGAAAAATACTCGTAAAAATTAACTAAATGTTAAAGAACAGTATCTATGATAAAATTATAAGATTAACAAACAACTTAAACAACAGTATATGTATTAACACATCTTAACAAGTAATTCGATCAAACCGTTGTACACATACTTCTAGTTATTTTACCGAAAAGATGAATATTCATAATAAAATATTAATGTATAAAATAAATTTGAATAATCTCAAATGTAAATATATTTATATATGTACGTGAGATGTAACAGTATAACACCATCAGGGCATCAGCGCATATTTTAAAGAAATAATGTAATTCCGTAATAATTGTACGCCAGTGGTCACGATGTCAAGGTGCAGTGTTACTGCTTCAATATAGAATAAAAATACTTTAACGAAATATTTTTACGTAATAACCATAATAATATAATATATGTAGGTAGGTTGGTATAAGTGTAAAATAAAATACCTAAACAAATATTCGATTTAGAAATGTATTAAATAATATTACGTCGCTCATGTATAAAACATATTTTTATAACTGATGATTTATCGAACGTTTGGATAGTTTAGTCGATTCTATACTTACGAGTCTATACCTATTATATTATATTGTATTCTAATTAATACTTAAGAACACAGGTAATTACATAACTGTGTGTACATTTCTATTGGCTGATTATTATTTTAGAATTTGCCATTTCCCGTTCACTATAGCCGCAGCCTGTACTGCAACGAAGCCTAGGAGAGGACCTCTGCGCAGCTCTTGGACAGTGGTTATTCCGATCGAATACAGCGGCATGTACAGCAGTACTGTGTGCACGATGGACACGTTGTAGTATGGCGTTTTATGGTATTCTGTTGTTGAGTTACAACGCAGTGCACGGTATCGACACAGGTACGTGAAATTTTGATATTATCATTATTATATTATAATTTATAGATTTTAGACTAAATTTAACAATCACGTATTGAACAATAAATAATTAGAATAAAATAACAGTTTCAGATTGTTTTCTTAACGCTTAAAATGGTGAATTGGAAGGATATGATAAATAATGTCTACCAAAATTATACATTTTTTTTATTATAGTTTTAGTCATTATATTTGTAACTATAGTATACTGTATAGGTACCTAATTTTAATACAAACATGGTAGTGGAAATAGTGGATTCTGCATAAAAAAACACTGTTGTGTAGGTGTATAAAATTAAAATCTAGATCATACATAAGTAAGAAAACTAAAAATTATATAAATATATTTTTAAAACAATATGTAATTGAGGAATGATTTGTTGCAAAACAAAACTTGTATAGTAGTTAGTTTTATCTATGGTTAAAGTCACGATCGTGACACATTATATCAAAGGACTTCATCTCACGCCGATACCAATTATTCATTATAAACAATGTAAAAAAAACGATTAAACCGTTTTATATACTTAAAAACCGGTTAATCGTTAAATGATTTTTAGAGCGTAAAAGTATAAGTAAAAGTAGTGACAGATAAAACACAATAGAGACAAAGTTTAATACGGATACCGCCGCCGTACCGGGGTATACACTTACATCTCCTGCTGGAATTAGAATCGTAATAACGGTGCAACAATTAAAACTAGAAAGTAAATGGATATCAGAGGTAATAATATGTAATAACAAAATGATAATTTCTCACGCATTTATTTTTAGGTATAAAAATTATTCCCCATACATATTTATTAGTTACGTTACGCGTAAAACAAATAGCACCCGAAATTACTAATATATTTCATAATTGAGATTTTAAGATAAAATTATTGTATAAGTACATAATATATTATGTTATATTATACGTTTATTTTACAACGACGGTCTTCAAGTCAAATATTGGCTATAATAGTATTATACCCTCAAATGTAGTTGTCAACAAAATATTTTATAGATCAGCCAACAACTTTTAATCAATATAACTATATCCCCATTCGAAGCTTAATGGTTTCACAGTACCTACAGGCTACAGGCTAATAAACTTACTCGGTTATCTATTTACATTGGCACAAATAGGGGAGGGGGTGCTTTAGGTCTATAGTACCCCATAAAAAATCGTTTAAAAATATGAAATGAAAAGTTGATAATTTATCAAATTACAATTACAACACAATAGCATTGTTTATAGTATAACATTATATCACACCAAGTATGATTTTTGTTTTGTTCTTTTTTTAAAAATAATTTGGACTGTCTTGTGTGGGCCCGGAATTATGGTTTTAGTGGTTGTATTTACTTGTTTACATATAGGCAAATAATGGGTTTAGGTCCCATTGAGTCACAAAAAAACCTAGAGTTAAGCCCCTTGTTCAAATGTCTAGTTGCGCCTATGTCTATTTAATGCATAAATAAATGCACCATTTTGAAAAGAAAGGATTATTCTAACATTCAGTCCATTTTATACAGTAATCCTGCAGCAGGACATTCTACTAACCTCTATTGTTCTAAAGCACAAATTATATGTCGCTGAAACTGTTGTTTATCCATATACACACATACACTAGAGAACAAGTGAAGTGTATTTATTCTAATATAATACCTAAATATAAACTCATCATTCTCAGAAAAAAATATTATTTTTACCAGATCTCATACCGCCTATTCTATACCACGGATGTATCATGTTTATATAAGCACCGATCCAGTAAAAAACGTACACAATAAAGTATCTATAGGTAATCTATAGTTAAACATCGATGGGTTACGGAATATTTTGAATTGCGCTTTAAAAATATAAAATTGCTGTATTAGTGACTTTGTGTGTACTAAATAAGTATAATTATTAATTATTTAACTGACAATAATTGGACACTGGACTAAGATAGTTAAGATAACTATCCATTATTTTGAGAATATTTTCAAATCTAATAAATTAACCAATTATATTTTCAGTGAACAAGATACATTTTACATGTTTATAAGTGTATAACAATTAGATTATTTAATTGTATACCTAATGATAATTCACTAAATATTAATTTTACTTTAACTTACAAAGCAAGTTTTAAACAAAAACCATTTTAATAGCATATATGAATTTTCATATATTAGGTACCTTCAAAAAGATGACAAGATTACAAATAATTATTCATTTTTGTTATTTAATAGGTTCTAAAAATCGTTAGGCATAAGTAGGTATAAATGAATAACAACTATTGCATAAGAAAAACATTCGAATCACATGAACAACTAAATGATTGGAGGCAGAACCGTGTCAAGTAATTCAGCGCCCTGGGGCAAGGATGGTTTACGGGGCCAAAGGTAGCATATTAAGCGCAGATAAAGGCACCCCCTTAATTTTACAAAACTATCACACCCGAGGGCAATTGCCTCCTTTGCCCCACCTTAACACGGCTCTGATTGGAGGTACCTACTAAAAGTATATTTTCTGTTTTCCATAATACATTACACTCTATAATATAGAACATATATTATTATCGTTCCCTATCCCACAGTTTTTGCACGTGTCACAAATCAAATTCGTTTATAAATTGATTATATTAAATAATATTGCTTATACAAACGCGTAGGTACAATTTATTAAAGAAATTTAATTGACAAAGCAGTGAAATTATAAATTATTAAAAATAATGTAAGACAAATTTAAAATAATTATTCGTGAGAAAAATGATATTATTATATTTATCAATAATTAAAATAAAAAACGTAGTTCTATAATATATTCTTAGAATGGATTTACAATAAAACGCCACTAGAATTTTAAACATAACAGACTACATACAACTTCAATAACTATAATATTATATTTCAACATTCTCGTAATAATTTTAATTTTATATCAATATAGGTATGTAAACAACGTGTACGTGAACCTCCTAATAATAAGATGAATTATAAATTACTCAATATGTTTTGTTTGTAGAGTTACACAAGAAAAATATCACGGTGCGAAAATAAGAAAATCCCACTGAAAAATAATATTACTACATATAAAGTGTGTTAGACCTATTCACGAATGTAATTTGCAGTTATGTAAGGTCCAATATAGGAAGACACCTATATATTATTATACATTGCTAGTTATATTTCCAGTTCGACGTGTATTTTTTCCATTACTTATGAATATCATTCCATAACAAAAAATTGAAATGTACATAAAAAAATGACCAGAAACCATCACTCTAACATATACACGATAGTCGTGATTAATTACAAATGCAAGACACACATGGACAAATCGACCGTACTTTCTCTGGAAACCGTATTTTGTGATATAATAAAAAATATTCGACTTAACTTTGCAGACATAATAAACTATTGAATTCATAAAAAATATATTTGCTTATGGTTTATAACAAATATAGTTTAAATCGAAATGATATAGAAATCAATGCTAGATCAATTATTATAATATTACGATACAATACAATAATATAACTCTTAGTGGTGTTGACTATCCCAGTTTAATTAAAATAATTTCATAAGATCGATACGGTTCGTTGAAGTTACTTCCATTTGTAATAATAACACCATAAAGTACACACACACAATGTGATTTCCCTTTTATATCTTGTTGAATAAGTCTCACAAGGTTAATTTTAAAAGCATAATAATAATACGCTTAAATATTACATGTGTCAGCTGTCGGGCTCACAAATACTTATATTTAAATAATATACAAAATATATATATATATTATAATATTATATATAGGTACGCCTTAAATAGTCATTTACGTTTGCCGTATGTGGGCAACGGGTAGATAAATATAAGAGATTTTCTAATCACGATTTGCGTTTTGTGGACAATAGCGAATAGCGAGTGACTCGAAATTCCTTTCGTGAACCAATTGTGAAATGGTCACCTATAATAATATAGTATTAAATGAGGTGCCTTATTTAGATCGATTTGGCCAATAAAAATGTATTATTTGTTCGTGTAGGATATTTGACATAAAAAAAATGATCTTACTTAAGAATGACTAATACAACTACCAATTAAAATTATTAAATCTCATTGCCAAAATAAAATATTAATACCCGAAATTAGAACTGGTTGTTAAGTACTTTATCATAATATATTCGATTTTAAAATAAGTCTGGTACCTTTTTGTCTTACACCTTGTCTACAGTATAAGTTATAACTTTTTTAATTAATTTGATTGTATTACAGACTCGATAAATCAAAATTTGTTGATCAAGAGCCAAAATGCAAATGAAACATCATTGTCAACTGCCGAACGTTTTCGACGTCTAATACCTTACGTGACGTATTACGTGGTCGGTAACAATGAACAAAATGACTTGCCATATCAATATCAATATCAAAACCCTAATTCAAATTCAAACACGCCCAGACCTTCACAGGCAAATAACTTCTATTTTCAAAATGAAAGAAAACCCCCACAAAAACAACAGCCCGCCACCCAGCATCAACATAATTATCAGATATCTAATCAACAGATCCAACAACAACAACACGCAACGTCTACAGGATATCTGAGATTTCCAAGCTCTCCAAAAATTAAAAGGCCTATTGTAATAACAACAACGACGGAAATGCCGTACATCATCCACCCGACAGACAACTCGTATAATTATTATTACGATTACAGTCAAACGAGCCCCAAACCGATTGTTCGACCTAGTCCAATTGTTATTAAGCACGGTGATCACGCCGGATTTTTACCGACAATGCCGCCAAGCCCAAATTCGTTCCCGGAACAACAAGAACAATTGCAGTTTACGACCAAGACAAAAAAACAGAGAAGGCCAAAACCGAAAAGACCCACAACACCGGTCACTACAACCACAACGACAGACAAATATGGTGCACTCAACGAACTGTTGGATGGTTACGATTTGGGAAATCGTCTTTCAAACAAAATCACGGCCGATAACATCGGTTCCAGTATACAAACTTTGTCGGCCGTGTTACAGTTATTGCAAAACGAGGCAGACGAACAACAGGCGCGACCACTGCGGCCAAAGAAACCTAAGCCGGAATACCGTCCAGATCCAATCGACGAATATGATGATACTGGCGACGTAGGGAATCCGGGAAGACCGGGCGTGGATTATCCGACGCTCTCAGTTATACCCAAAACTAGCTTCGATTGCAAAACTCAAAGATACAAGGGTTTCTTCGGAGATCCAGAAACGCTGTGCCAGGTATTTAACTTTTTTTTATATCGTACATTTTATTTTTGCATGGTATGCATATAGTCATATAGATTACTGCATTGGGCAAACTTTTACATATAGGGTCGATAAATTTTTATGCATAATATAAAACACCTGTATGGTTTTGAACATTTCGAACTTTCTTAATGAACAATACATTTAAAAACTCTTGTACGGTTGCACCAAGGATCTCTGAAAAAGATACCGGTGAGTAGGCGGGCGTATGGTATGATGTCTACGTTAATTTTTTTGGTACGATGATAGGTCGTATAACTCGTATACGGTATACCTATTAGAATTTTCAGTGACGTAAACAAAATAATCAGTTGATATCAGGTGATTATCGAAAAATATTTTGAGAATCAATGACCAAACTATAAAATTATGAATCCATAACCTCACTAATAACTACCTAGGTATATAACTATTAATATTTACCTATTTAAAAAATATCAGTCATATTAATATAATGCATATAATCAGAAACCGTATTATATGCACAAAAAAGTTGCTAAATATGATGCAAATCTGCTTCTATATGCACCAAAATATGCGCAGTAAAATTACAAATATTTTGAATATTTCTTTTATTCAAAATTTGGACAAAAATAAAAAAAAAGTTAATACATTTTTTTTAATCCAAGCTACAGAGAATTATTAAGATAGAATATCTTAAGTATTGTGTATTTATCTTTACAATAAAATAAATAAAATCTTTTAGTAAATCACTCACTGTATTGTATATTTAATAATTAAACACTAACTGTACAATACACTGTATTGTATTTATTAAAAAAATGTATTGAATTTTAACCAAAAATTATAATGGTACCTATGTATTAATTTTACTTTTATTATATTTAGTTCAGTGGGTTAAATCAAAGATATAACTAAAGTTAGCAATCAATTTATTATTTTTTTTTTTCTTATTGGAGCATAGTTATTTTAAATACAGTGTTGAAAATTTTGATTATTCAAAAGTAATTGTTGATCAACATAATAATCTTCGCTTTTATTTTAAAATGGAAATATTAGATTAAAAGTGGGTAAGTGGATGTGATAAGCGGAGCACCGCTGTACAGTAGGTTACAAGTGGGTCAATGTATAACGGATTGTATTAAACTTGAATTCAATGATATAATAATCAGTCTGGATATATAAATTTTTATTATTTATTAAAGCCTTTAAGTTGAATTATAATATTACTAGCTGATCCCGTGCACTTCGTTGCCCATTGAATATACCAACTCTATATATTATGACTAAAACTTTGTTCGATTCGTTATTTAATATGTGTTGTATGGTGTTCAAAATTTAAATATTATCAGTTAGTCAGCCTACCTGATGTAAATCGCGGACCCCGTTTTGTACGTAAGTGTATGATTTAACTCTAAAGTATCAAAGTTATACCAAGTTTGTCGTATTCCACGGGGAAATTTCCACCTTTGGCGGATCATTAAATAATATAATCAATTAATACAAAATCCTAACCTAACCTAACCGTACTAATATCAGATGAAAAAAAAAAACCAAATTTAAACATTTTTAAATTATAGCCAGTCTTCTTCTCGGAGGTCTAATCTACACACAAACATTCATAAACATTATTTATAATTCGTTGCCCATTAGAAATGACAACTCTATATGAATAATATGTTTTAAAATTCCATCGGAAATCTCAAAATAATATATAAATGGTTACCACAAAACTATAAAATAACTATAGAAACCATAGATTATACTGATTGCACATCGAGCTGATAAATAATAATAAAATATAATACATCAGTATTAATTGCCATAGAGATGTCTACGTCTATCATAGAGTAAATAAAGACAACAATATCGAGTTCAAATCCCAGACATCAATAAATAGTTTTTGCAGTTTTTCTAATTATTCGGTTGACTTTATAAAAATTTTCTTTCGTAAAAACCTTTTCCTGGCAATTACGAACATCTTAAAAAAAATTTGAGCAAAATCGGCCCAGCCGTTCTCAACTGATGCAATTTCGAATTTTTTGTCTCCATTTTTATATATATAGATACTTTTTTATTTGTTGCTACGGTGATAAACAAATCGTTAGAAATTAAAATCCCATTTAAAGAGGTGTAAGTATTTTGTCAGTAGTTTATCCCATGGCATTAAATAACTATTGAGAAAATCGAAAAATGACCTCTCTAAAGTACCATCTTGATCCAATTTGCTAAAAGATAAGGTACTATATTATGTTGAAATCGAAGCACTCCTTCTGGTAGAAATTTTTTATACAGGATATAAAAAAAAAAAAACACCATTGTGAAACCAATAGCTTCCTTGCTCCGCTCAGAATCTAAAAATTATTTGGCTTATTAAATGTGTATAAAATAATGTTTTCTATACAAATTATATGTTTTATAACAAAATTTGCCTTAGCCTCTCAATATGCAAAATAAAACTTTGCCTTTGTAATCAGCTTGATTTGACATTTTGAACCCTCATAGTTCTGCATACACTCGGTGTGTATGTAATTCTGGTCTCTACTTATAATATACTATTACAAATTATATTTATGTATTGAAATTTCAAAATACATTTATTAGCATCAGATAATTAAAATTTTTCTAGTAAAACTGTAGTCATGTGTAACATACAATTTTCATTATTTTTTATTATATGAATACTTAAGTAATTAATAAAAACGACATTCTTTCAAACTATAATAGTTAATTAACATAATACGGGAATAGAGAAAATGTTTATTTCGTGCATGAAAAGTAGCATTTAGGTACCCCCCCACAAGTTGTATTATCAAATATCAATACATCACCGCGTCTAATAATATTTTGTCTAGGTATATAATATTATTTTAACGTAAAAAAAAAAAAAAATATGTACGAAATATATTAATTCAAAAAAACATGAAATCACACATATTATTTATTATTATTTATAATTGTTTAAATTACGAATTACAATTTAATTATGTGTTTTTTTAGGTGTGGCATTACTGTGACTTAAATGGTGGTCAAGCATCATTTTTGTGCCCAAATGGAACTATATTCAATCAAGTAACACTGACATGTGACTGGTGGTTTAATGTAAAATGTGATACTACAGCTCAACTTTATGTGCTCAATGAACGCTTATATAAATATATAATACCATCTAAACCCAGTTTTCCAGAAGATTACGAAGGACCTTTAGTAGATAGATATTTAGAAGACAAATTTAAGGAAACCGAAAAAAATAGAGGCCAACAAAGAGCACCAATGCCATCAGTAATGAATGTCACTACTATTGAACCAGAATCAGTTAGAACACCATATCAACAATTAATAGATGTAGATGTATAGATTTCAATAGAAACTTCTTTGGACTATATTTATGATTTGGGAGGTGATTTTTTATGTAAAGTGAATAATAGGTAGGTGTAAATACAAAAATAATTTTTTAAAAAAAAACCAAATAGAAAAAAATTATAAAACTGACCTAGTTTTCAAAACTAGTAGGCCTGAAAATGTGCCATTTTTAATATAATTCAAACACTATAAATATTTTATTTATTAATAATTATTATGATACTATGTTTTAAAGAGCTCAAATTAAAAATAATTAGGTGGTGAAAATATTTTATTTTATTATTTGATACATTTTTAACTTCAATTTTTTAAAAATTTCACCACAAACAATGAAACAAAGATTATGCCTAAGATTATGAAGCTTAGATATGGTTCTATTCTTAACATTTTTCAACCGTAGAAATAGTTTTATAAATTTATATTTGTCAAGAAATTAATTTCTTGAAGATTTTTAAATACATAAATCAAATGGCAAATAATAATAATTTTAAATTTAAACAATGGTTAGCAAGGGTAAGAAATTTGTATATATTTTCTGACTACCTAAATCTATACAGGTTCAAAGTTCAAATAATGAGAATAGCTTATAATATAACACATACATATTATGTCAAATACCTATTTGATTATTGTGGATTAAAACATTCAGAAAATGATCTTCCAATTTAATATATGAAATTTAACTACAATATAGTTAGTAAGCATTTCAGGAAAATTAGTGTTTAAGAAAGACAGATACATATTTACAAAGTTTCAAAACTAAAATCAATTTAAATCTATTTTCAGATGTAGGTAATCTTTGTTTCAAAGTTGGTTTATTATGTAAACAAGAAATATTAAAATTTCAATATAATTTTTTTTTAAATTATTAAGAAATCACATTTTCAATAATCTATTAAATGTAATTAGATAATTAGTGTTGTATGCCTTTAACATACTGGACATATATAAATATTTAAAAAAAACTTTATTTGTGCCAAAATATATTTGACAATATAGAATATGTTAGGTATTATTATTAAAATCTATAATTTATAGAACTTAAGATAAAATTTTATTTGAAAACATGTGCAATAATAGATTATAATTATAATTAAGATGTAAATATGATCATTGATTAAGTATTAAGTAAAAAATCCTATTATTTATTGTCAAAATGTGTGGTTTATTTGTAATGCTTATTTTTAAGAATCTTATTTATAAACCAAAGATTAAAATTGTAATTGTATTATGCAATTTTAATAATCATGAAGTTAATTTTTTTAAATAAATATTCTCAACTTGAAAATTAAATTTGATATACATTTTTTACTTGAATAATATTAATGATAAAAATGAATCATTTTTGTCATTTTTGCTATCAAGAATATATATTCAAATATGCATAATATAGGCCCTACAATAATACAGTGCAACACAATAGTTCTTGCAGATAATGGTGGCTACGGTGACATGTTGTTTCACATTTCTGCACACACAAAAATAAAAACCATAAAACTTACATTAATAGAACATTTTTCTACAGATACATTAATTAATTTTAAAAGTTTGTGTAGGACAAATTAATTTTGAATAGTAGATATTGCTATATTTATACCATTCATAGAAACGAATAACAGTTTGAGTTAGTTACTTTTCTCTGATGGACAATTTATTAATAAACCTCATCAACAATTTATGTTAGAACGGTAATATTCAATTCTAGAGTAGATTTCAATACGAACCGTGTTTTGGTCTTAATTCTCACATGTGCATTGCCTTGTGCTTTTGTGCATACTGCATTGTATAAAATTGAATATACCATGTGTCCGCGAAAACTGTTTACACTCCAAAACTTAGTTACCTACATTTCTCAGTACCCTATTCATATTTTATAATTCTGTCTGCAGGATATTGATGATTCAATAGTCTAGTATCATGTCCCATAAACATAATTCAAAAATATGTATAAGGTACTGAGTAATATGGGTAATTTAATTATACAGTGTACCCAGTTTTCGTGGACACACAATATTATTAAACTTGTGAAGTCATCTTGTGTTTATTGTTGGTTGCATAATATATAAACTATAAATACCCCTTAAAAAATATGTGCAGTCTTATCATTAAGCGTACTTATTATTCTTTGTATTATGTTCTATGGATCTATCTATTAGACATTAGTATTTTCTATCCATTGAGTATAAGTATAATATTCTTCACAGAGAGAGTAGGCAATATTATTTATTTATATTTATACAATACTTATATAGTTATATTCTATACTTCATTCATACATTTAATATTTACTAACGATAATGCAAGGCTTGTACTCACATCTCTATAATGTTTCAATCTTTTAAGTAAAATGTCTCCTTTTAATGAATATTCATTTAAGCGTTGTGCTTGGCTAATATTCTAAAAAAGAAAATACATATTACCTAGTTAATTATATTATGTAAGTATATAAGATCATATAGTTTATAAATATAAACATTTTTTTAATAAGAATTAGAGATTGACGAGATAATCAAACATTAATAGATTAAAATTATAATGGTTTTATTTATTTATAGTATACCAGCCATATTTCAATTCAAGATTTTCTATTCATGTAAATTAATTATGATAAAAATGTATAGGCAATACATTTATTTATTATGAATAATAATTGTATATTATATAGGTACATATTATATTAATTTATACAAAATTAAAAACATTTATTAAGTATAAATCCAATCAGGATGATGTATTTATAACCAACCAGTTATTTTTAAAAATTATTTATTAATAATATGACATGCTCAATGTAAGTAGTCAACAACTAATTTGATATTTTTACTTGATTATATTATTATAGAATGTTATAATTTCAAAACATAAATAAATAAATGTTCATGATCCTTACATATTTTTCCAAATGAAGAAGTTCGTGATGTCGGTGATTTTCAACAGCACACACTGGGCACAATTCTTTTTTACATGTTATACAAATAAAATCATTTATTTTCAAATGAAGATCACACTTGGATGCTTGAAGAAATTCAAGGTGTGTAGTGTCTAGTTTGTTTAAATCATGTTGTAACATCAAATGATTTTCCATATGAATCTAAATAATTGATGAAAATAATATTAATATATTCAATTCAAGTTCAAGTTGGAAATAATTACCTCTTGAGAACAGTCCTCACAATACGTCTCATCACATTGTTCACAAAAGATAGCTGCATATTTTTGACAATTTTGACAATTTTGACAATTTTCTATAATGATTATTATAAAATAAAAAAATGTATTTAAAATTTGTATTAATAATAACTAACCTTTAGTTTTCATTAAAGACTTTGAAGTCATCCTAATATTAAAAATATCTTGATATATTTTACGCTGTCTGTTATATGATGAGTACCATACTTTACCAACTATAAAATAGTGTATTGGTATGTTTGATATTTCGTCATCACATTTAATCCTGTAAATTATAATAGATAGTGTAGAAATTTAAAAATAAATAAATTGGAACTAATTATTTAATAATTTAACATTTAGTAAAATAAAAATGTTTCATACATGCAATCAGCTTGACAAACTTTACAAATAACTTGTTTATTCTTCTTGTACAAGTACTTTATACAATTTCTACACATATCATGTCCACAAACTAACAACATTGGATTCTTGGGTCCATAAACATCTGTAATAAATAACAAATACATAGTTATTATATTTTATAAAGTTTGTATAATTACAACTAATATATTTTTCTAAACAAGAAATATAAAGAAATTAACAATCAACTTCTTCAACCACTTACAGTCTGCTAGCAGCGCTAAATACTACAACCTAAGTGTCCCTCTTCCAATACACCGTCTCAAGCGTGGATGTCCACATGACCTCCTATGCTAATTGTCTATTGTATTATTATTTTCTCATATTTATTAATTCTTAATTAAATCTTAATTGTACATACCTATTAGTGTTGTAAAAATATAGTTAGATCTAAGCTCATAAGCATTATTAAATTCTAATTTATCAATTCTTACTGATTTTGTAATTTTTTTTTCTTTTTATGATAACCTTTTTCAAAATGTCAAATATTATACTCTTTTAGCCTTAAGAGGACGCTACACCCGCATGTGTTGTCTCCGTCATACACACGTACGACATAGACAAAACGCGTTTAGGCAGTCTGAGTATAACTCGCTCAATTTTGGTTCTAGAGTAAAAATACCTATTATGAAATTGAATTGTGATAATATTTCTAAGGGCAAGACGCTGCGGTTTTTTTAAAAAATTTAATTTTTTTAAAAGTCAAAGGTATTTTAAAAATGGTGAAATTTTTTCTATTTCTAAACGATATAATGAACGTTATATTGGGTATAATGGAAAAACCGCAGCGTCTTGCCCTTAGAAATATTATCACAATTCAATTTCATAATAGGCATTTTTACTCTAGAACCAAAATTGAGCGAGTTATACTCAGACTGCCTAAACGCGTTTTGTCTATGTCGTACGTGTGTAAGACGGAGACAACACATGCGGGTGTAGCGTCCTTTTAAGTTTAGATGACCAATTATCAGGAAAACTTTATAAATAAAAAAAAATAAATAAAATAAACAAGAAAGAACAAATATATAACATTAATATTATACAACTTGGGTTGGATAGATACCAATATTTAAGATAATGTCAGCGCACAGTTTGTATTCTCTCTCTGAACCACGAGCAATTAAGCAAATTTATGAATAGCAGAATCAACCCAGTGTTGTTACTTTTATTACTAGAGTGAATTCAACTATTATTAAAACTTTAAGCTAATAACATTACATGTATCCTTAAGTTGGTTTTTTACGATACTTTAATGTTCATACAATTTATAAGCATTTTTAAATTGTAATAATTTACACGCTCATAACTTAAGTACAAATTAAAATATCATAAAATAGCCAACGTAGGAACACAGGTAATGTTCTTAACCTAAAGTTTTGATGTAGGTGAATTTACTCTAATATTAAATTTAATATTACAGGGTTGGTTCTTCTGAACGTAAATTTGCATAAATAGCATAATAAGAGCATAAATAGACAATAGTGGAGCAGTAAAAAGATTAAGTAGATCTCAATTTGGATCATACAATTATTATAAAATTGTCTGAATGTGCTTTGCCAATATTGTTGTCATAAATCATAATAGATACATTATAGTCACTTAATTTATAACTAGAAAAATAATAAAAACTAGATGAACACTTTTTTTTTGTTGAAACGGTATTGGTACAATCATCAAATTTTAAATGAAGGAGTTGGCCCCTTGAAAATATATTGAAAAGGTGATAACAAAGTGAGGTGGTTGGATACAAAGAGTTAATATAAATATTTTGTCAAATTAATAATATACAACTTTTATCTAAAACTACTTTACAAGTCTCCTTTAATAAGAACTTATGTACTTAAAAATATAACACAACTAGGTACTGTCTAATGAGAAATAACTTATAAGTAATCAGTGGCGTCATTTAGGGGGAGGCAAGGTGGGATATTTGACCCTGTCTGATTTTAAAAGCAGCCCGATGGGCCGGCACAGGGTTGTTTTCGTTTAACTATTATTATATTTTATTGGCGCAAAAACATCCCTATTTTTATGTTTTGAGAAAATAGTATGTATAATATAGATTATTGTCACAATGATAAGTTGGTAATTACTAATTAGTCGTTGACAGTTATAAAATAAATGTATAAAAAATATTTATATTTAGGAGAGCATGTGGGACGAGCGGGAAAGTTTGTATGTATCTATATGTCATATTATGTGTATGTTTGTAATTTTTGAAGGAAAAGGAACATAATAATAACATGTGGTTGCAAGCGAAGTGACTGGTTTTTTTTTTAAGTTACCCATTTGGGCTGGTCAAAACTTTTGCCCCCCTATTAAGAACTGAAATGACGCCACTGTAAGTAAATAACTAATAACTAGGTACATCATAATTTTTTCTACAATTATCCCTACTTACAATTGAAGCACACAATCTATAATATTATAATTACCTCCAATTTGATAATTAGTATTGCAGTGGGAGCAGCAAGGCATCTTATTAGTACGATTCATGATTTTAGGTGAATATTAAAGCCAAGCCTGAAAAAAAAGTATGAGATTGTAATTTGTAACTGAAATGTAATTTAATCTTCAACATTACCAATTACGATAGATAAGTCATAAAACAAAGATCGCGAAATTCCATTATTTATCTTCAAGAGTTAAAATGTCTAATGTTACCCACAACAGTCACAACTATTAACCGTACAAATCTGAAACCGTTAAAACTTAAGAGTAAACGAAACACAGATGGACCATTATACCTTTATAATTGGGTGATTACAAACTACAACATGCCTGTGAGCAATAATTTATAAATATGTAGTATAAAAATAGAACGATTTCGGCTAAACTGTTTTTACTTATTAATAATACCATAACCATACCACAACCGCACAACGTACAATATGACGGTGACCGGGTGACAATCAATTCAATTTATACACAACTCTGAACAATCAGTGAAACTACAACTCAAATACTCAAATACTTAAAAATACTCAAATAGTAGTCAATCTGATAACTGATGTCTGATTATCTGAATTCTGAAAAGCGTCTGCCATGTGCGGGTATTCGAGATAACAATATATTGCCGGCGACCAATGACCATTCTAAATTAACGCTCTGCGATAGGGACAACCTGAATTTCCAAAGACAAAATTAAATCGGGTGATAACAATTTAAATTTTAAACATTGTTGTATAGTTATTAGCATTGATTATAAATACTAGTATTTATAATCAATGTTATTAGTTACCATGATATAAAAACAAGGTATGATCACAGAATATTCTGTGGTATGATCGTAACTTTTTGACGGTCAGAATGTCAGATCCTTCGGTAAGCACGTGACGTAGCGTAGTGTATAGTAATAATAATTTAATGACAATATGATAATACGGGTAAGCAAGTGACGACGTGACGTACTGCGCGGACTTGGACCAAATCTGGACTTTTGCGATCATACCATGTTTATATCATGATAGTTACAGAGCACGATTTAAGCATTGTTCTGTGATTTAAGATCACAGATTTCTATATATTACTAGATAGCGAACTCCGGTCATGAATTGAAGCTTCAAGGTCGGTTGGCAATTGTATGGTATTTCATATGACAAATAAGATGATAATATTATGATTTATTTTATATCGTATTTTATTATTTTTAAACATTTAGTTTACAAAAAAAAAAAATATTTTATATAAGTCATTTTACATTTACTATTTTATTTGACCGTTAAAAAAAATATTATTCCTAATACATTTTGTATAATAAATGAAATGTTTTGCCAACCGACAAAATGGCGGCCGTTCACAGCTGAGCTTCACTTGTAACAATGTAAATTGTATAAGAGTTCCTTATCTAGTGTAGTATAGAAGTCTGTGTTTAAGATAGACCATCTTAAGTCGTGATCATGAACATTAGAGGAAGGACGCCGAACTGTGTATATAAAAGTGGTCCGGAATTATCGCATTCCGCCAGAATGCGCGTCGGACCGTAATGATGTCGTTTTACATGTACAGCATAGGGAATTTAATGGTTTTTTATTATTATAATCTAAATGGTGAAATTTATGAATAATTACTATAGAACATTTTTTAAAACCAAATTGCCCTCGATCGAATATAAGTGTTTCCAATAATATACGACTTTTATAAAAAGAGATAACAACTATATCTTTTTTTATAAAAGTCGTATATTATTGGAAACACATATATTCGATCGAGGGCAATTTGGTTTTAAAAAAATGTTCTATAGTAATTATTCATAAGTTAAACCATTTAGAATATAACATTAAAAAACCATTAAATTCCCTATGCTGTACATGTAAAAACGACATCATTACGGTCCGACGCGCATTCTGGCGGAATGCGATAATTCCGGACCATGTTTTTACGCTTCGTTCTGCCGTGTGGCGTCCTTCCTCCAATGTTCATGGTCGTGATTAATAAATGTTAATAATTAATATCATTAATCATTATATTCCATGACCTTGGGATAGGCCCATAGCTTAGATCATAACCTAAAAAAATCATCACTTGTGGCCTGCGGGAGTGAGACACCCGGAGGAGGCCTTTCTCTCTTCCACATTAGAAACCACAATCACTTGGGTATCATAGAATCACGATTCTGGACACGACAAGGTTGGAGGGTGTGAGGAGTTGACTACGAAATGTAGTATTTATATTGTTCTATGCACGGACCCTCCGACCATGGCTTATAGTATGGTTGCCCACTTGCCCAACGAATCAAGAAATGTGTCTACCGAAATGAATCTCCATTATCAGTATTGAAGAGCTGGAGACTTACGCTCTAGCGCTTATTTTAGCAACCCCCCCCCCACTCCTGGTTGGATAAGAAATTAAAAAAATTACAAAATTAAATTAAATATTAATGCTTATTAGTTATTAGCTTATTACTTATTACTTACTCAGTCCTTTTTCTACAGAAGAAAGTTCTCGCTTATTATATTTATTAATAGTTATAGTTATTATTTATAGTTATTATTTAACTAAATATATTTTCTCTATATTTATTTTTGGTTAAGAAAGACTTATAACCACTGAACTAAATTTAGTTCAGTGCTTATAACCAAGGAGTATTGACCTATCAATATTCAATACACTTATACACCATGCTTATAACTTATATAAATAATATTTTTCTAGATTGAATGAAAATTCAAAATTAACAACAAGTAACAACGATAACAACAACGATAAAAATCAAGTTAATTCTGTGTGTGGTACGAAGATATGAAGCACTACATCGATCGTCGTTTATTGAACGTTCTTTGGAACCTATGATTGTTTTGAATTTTTATTTTTAATTAGGTATTCTTTTACAGTCACGCGTATGTTATATTTATGTTAAATATACATATTTTATTAGTGCCATTTAGTGCGTAGGTATACCCATAATTAATATACAGGGTGTTTCAAAAGTATTCATCCGATTACGATCTGATATAGTTCGGCAACGGTTAATCGCAAGTTAGCGACCCATGTAGGTACTAATGCTTGACTGATTAATACAACTTCTATTTTAAGAATATATTTTACTTTATTTCACCCTTATATCTTCATTTTTAAAATAAATATACATTTTTGAAATCGGATGAAGACTTTTGATACACTCTGTATATTTACCAATACACCATACTGAGTCCGTATGGTGAAAATAATAACACTGTATCCCACTGACCGACGCACACATACACACACACACACACACACACACAGCATATTTGTTTTTTTTTTATATTAATTAATTGATTTTTATTTTTGTTCAAAATAATATTGTGTCGTATGTGGTATGTGAATTATATAACATATAGATAACGCTGCCGCAACCAGCTGGTTCACGTAAATTAAGGGGCCTGGTCGCGATTTTTCAAATTTTCCGCAATTCTATAAAATTTGAAAATTAAATTTTATATTTTAGTTGCCACCTCAATTATAAGACTTTTCCACTAATCTACTACCCAATACCTATTTAGGGGGGGTTGATAGGGTGTATTATATCGGTCAAAACACAGTTTACAGGAAAAACTCTCACACCTCGTAGATTGGTCCGATTTCCGTAATTTTTTTTTTTGTTAGATAGAAGAATATTTTTTACAGGGCGCATTGGACTTTGATTTTTGATTATAATAAATAATAATACAAAAACTAAAAAGTTGTAAAAATGGATTAAATTCAAACTTGTAATATAACATTTCGAAAAATAATTTTGAAAATCCAAGTCCAATGCCCCCTGCAATACGTCTTTCTCTATTTAACAAAAAAAAAATTACGGAAATCGGACCAATCTACAAGGCGTGAGAGTTTATCCTGTAAGGCATATTTTTGAGCAAAAAAACAGGTCGCGACCAGGCCCCTTAACATCGGTGCCGAAGTCAACACTCGACGGTGTAGTCAACTAGAAAACTTTTGGTTTAACTGTACTGCTGTAGTGTTTTCGTGAAAATCATGTCTGAATTCAACTGCAGAGCCAAAGAACTCGGAGGAACGCAAGTAACGATGGCTAATAATGCATATGCGTAAATAGGGTGGTTTGGGGGACTTAGTCCCCCCATGTCAAAAGTAAGTACTAAGTACAAGTACTAAGCATGTATCATTTTTAGAGAATACTCTAGGAAGGGGCATAAATTCACTTTAGCTAGGTACCCAGATTTTTAAAAAAAAATTTTTGAAACACGTGTTTCAACATGTTGAGACTTAAGACTGATGGTGGAAATCATTATTATGGAAGTTATATAGTTCCAAAGTTTTGCGAATTTATGTTTATTCTTACGCATACGCACAAGTGCACAACATTGTATTTTACTGCAGCAGCGCTTACCTATAACGAATAATTTTGATTTTTTTTTTTTTTACCAACTTATGTAGTTAAGTTTTGATTCCGACACATGAGCCAGCTGTCAAATGTTACCTATGAATCGGTTTAATAGCTTTTACATTGTGTAAGGTCAATATAATCCAATATAGCTAAGAGGACGTCGCACCCGCATATTATATTGTCTCCGTCTTGCACACGTAGGTACGGTATAGCAAAAACGTTACAGTGCGGGAAAGAACCGAGAAGGCTACAGACTACAGTCATAACTGTCACTCATAAGTAATTAAGTCATAACTTACTAAGAAACAAAATTTTCACCACATATAAAGGAGTACTTTGGCAGTGCAATATCACTCTGAAACAAATGACCGTTGATACATGAAATTTAGTCAATTTTATTACTGGTCCAACTGCGTGTTTCAAAATTTTGAAAATTTTGTAAAAAAAATTTAAAGAAACACGTTTATACGGTTAGTACTGTTAGTAACCGTTAGTACGGTTTGTTATTGATGTATAATGAGTTATAAGTACCTAATGGATATTGTGATATGATTAATTTTGAATTTATTATAGGTCAATTTTTTTTAATATCATAGATAAGTATATAATATGTCTTGTACCTAGACTAACATACCATCTCCGCTCAAAATCGTTTTTCTTGTACAATGAT